TGTAACCTTGGTAAACTGGGTTCCTCTGCTGCTCTCTGCTGTCCTGTTTCTTCTGGCAGCCTAGGGTACCATTTAAGCAAGCCACGACTCCATGGTATTTGAGAACCTGCATGGAATCTGAATGCTAAGATTCTTGATGACTGTCCAATGCCATTCGGGTCATATGGTATTTTCATAATTATGTATAGCACCGTTGTTTTGGGGCTGCTACTACGAATGATGGCTTTCCTATTCCCCTAATAAATATTACGTTTGAACCTTTTACTACTTACGCGACGAAAATGCATACGGCTTCTGATCGCCTACAGAACCATTTGAGCAGTCTATTGTTCTGTGATACTTTTTTCGTTAACGGCATCTGAGCCCTAGTTTTCAACATGCTTCATGAAATACAGTACTCGATAGGGACGAATTTAAATTCTCTTATCATAAAGAAGGCAATATTACGGAATCTGACCATAAATCATGTCGTTCAACTTTATGCATTGTTTGCAGTCGCCAACGAATTTAGATTTCTAACTAAGATTAAAAACAAGAAATAATTCAGATATTTTAATGGATTTGCGCGTAAGCTCACGATTTTATTAGTACGAAAGCTGAAGGTATCAGCACAGCTTTGTTTTCATGCAGCGTCCCCTCCAAATGGTTATTGTCCCAACAGACTGCGTTGCAACAGTCGCACTTATGCCTGAGATATTCAGAGCAGGGCCACCCACTTACACGCGCTTCAGATGTCTGCTCGACATATTTTCAGTATGTCAAGGTTCCAAAATGCCTGATCATCATATGTATCATTTACTGTGTTAAGCATCACTGTAGTAACACTGGTTGCATTTGCCGCAGTACCGCTCAACTGGTTTTAAAACTGATAATTAGATTACGTGAAATGACGTGTAATCTTCTTTTGTACTCGCGGCTAACAAAATCTCACACACGGTTGTAGGTCCCTATTTTTTTCACTCTGATAAATTTTTAATTCAGTGATAGTAACACAACCGATGTGACGTGTACTTAAGCGCTGCCGAGTGACACCTTGCATATATTATTTATAGTTTGTTTATGTCCTTCGAAGGAGGTCTCAGTTCAGTTCAATAAATTACAGCGGTACAGTTTGCAGCCATTCCTAGTCAAAGATTCGGAAGAGAGGGACGAGGCATTGATTCTGAACTAAAGCTGAGGCAGTACCTGTAAACAGACAATTATGGTTCATTTATAAACAGTGTAATAAAAGACTTATTAATATGTGCGTGAAACTCGGTCGATCCGCAGCAAGTTCCGCAGAGTGTTTGCTTTTCATGATGCTTAGCCATTTGTAGGATGGGCCACATCCTTTCGGTTGCAATTCTCCCCCTGCCGATAATGAATATTCACCGATATCTGGTTTGTTGTTTGGTTACCGAGTAGAACAAAGGTATTTGTGGGTTAGACGCGACTCTCAGTTTCACTTGTAAATAGGCTGCAGGAATAAATTTATCACAGTGGTCAAGCATTGGTCACTACTGTTTACTGTAGAACTGTTGTCCGTTTGGAAAGATGTCTCCCGAAAAAATGGATAACGGTACCAAATTCCTAAAAAATTAATTGCAAACTTAGAAAAATATGTGAGCCTTTCTGAGGCATAGTGTGAATTGATGGCAAATTGAGAAAACTGTGCAGAGTTCAGAGTAAGGAAGAGAGATAAGAAAACGGAGTCTATAATTTTTTACTTTTTGGAGTGTTTTTAGTTGCTGGTACTTAAAGTGCAGCTGTGACAGCGGCAAAGTGGACAACATCCTCGCAAACTCTGTTGCATTTGGGGATGATATTATATTACTAGCAGAGAAACTCGAAGCCGTGACATTACCCTTCCCAACACTGAAACGAATGTGTTCTTATTTGGATCTCTCTGTTAATTTAGAAAAGCCAACGTGAATGAAAACAAGCAGAAACGGGACCAACAACTGGAGCTACTGACATGGTGGAAAGGTGAAAGAAAAACTTCTATGCCATGACCATGCTTCGGTTGCAGACGTATGAGCAACAAATGATGTTAAGAAGCTCTGGCATTGGTATTGGTAGCCAGAAACAAATAAACCAAGCTCTGCAGAGCAAACCGTTGACTATAGCACAAAACACATACACAGCCTGTATTCTCCATGTCTTACTCTATAGCCTGAAAACGGCAGCACTTTACACGGCTGAAAACATATGCGACAGAAATGAAAATTTACGATTAATGTTAACAGTAAATTTGCATCATCTAATTTCCGGTGTTGTTACAGGGGAGAGACCAAAATATCTAGCTAAGATGACCTACTGACTGCAAACAAGGCGTTGAGGGTTGTTGGTCCATTGCCATCGAACGGATGATAGCTGCCTAGCGAAACGAATACTGAACGCAATGCTTGATTGCAGACGTCAGTCAGAAAATCCTCCAAAAGAATGGCATGCTCTCGTAAGACCGAATTTGACGCCAAAGAGTTAATGAGCAAATGCATATTTATTCGATCGAGGTATAATGCCTGCACGGTACTTAACATTGCTCTCGATGCAATGGGTGAGAAAAAACGAAAAAGCATCGTAGTGCTGCAACTATAGCTGACTACGTTCATCGTATAAATTTGCTCTTTTCAATTTAATCAACGCACTGTGCTGTGGGTTTGATTCTCGAGTCCTTCCTTTCATTGATGCCTTAGACTGGAACTACTTTGCTGCAGTCCCACTGGGTAAGAGGTGACTTGATTCTTCTTGATGCTATTCCTCTCAGCGAATCAACTTTTTTCATTTGCTAATCATACATTCAGATAGTACATTTGTCGGTTTCCGGTTAGTTTGTCCACTTATACTGTACATGCAATCGTCAGTTTTAATATATCACGTAGTTTAGCAGGTCGCTATAAAGTTCAAAGTGAAATGTTACATAAACTGTTTTAGTAGAATGTTGCAAAATGGAAAGTAGAATGTTACATAAGTTGCGCTGAAACACATGTCCATTTATAATAAGGTCACAAGCAATAACGATGAATAAATGAATAGATCAGTGAATGAATGAATAAGTGAGTGAATGAATGAAGGAAGGAAGAAAGGAAGGAAGGAAGGAAGGAATTCATGAATGAATCGATGAATGAATGAAACTGTAGCTGTCACAACGGATACAATTCAGCCATGAACAACACTCAATAACTTCCATTGTGGTACTATTACTTGTTTACGCAAGACCCTGAAATGTGTGCGGAAAAACGCGAGCCTTCTACATGCGCTACATGTCAGTATGTATAAAAAATGTTCCTTGGTGTGCCTCGTTCAAATTCACTATTTTTAAACTTCAGCAAAACGAGGGGACGTAATTTTTCCCTCTATTTAGCTTTCAAACGTTTAGCTTACATCGCAGAATAGTGAGCAAACTCTGCTTACGTACTGAGGATGGTTCTTCCTCCAGGATATCGTCTTCTCACAGGATTTCAAGCTGCATCTGCAGCTACAGATAGACCGTTTTAGGTAGATTCTTTTCCATTTG